AGGAGGAAGGAGAAGGAAAGGGGGGCAGAGAGGGAATGAGAAAAGAGTGTTAAGCACTAAACGACAAGGCAGGAGCGAGACAAAGGAAGAGGGGCAAGTTGGAGGAGGAGAGAGGAGCACACACCGACAAGGAGGAAATAGAGGATCGGAGGCAGGAAGGAAGAAGAAGGAGCGAGAAGGGGAGGAGGAGGATGAGGAAGAGGTTGCGAGAGGAAGCGAAGACAAGAGGAGCAGAACGAGAGGGGAGGAGTAGGAGGAGGAAGGACAAACACGAGCGAAAGGATAGGGGATGATACAGAGGTAAACGGGAGGAGGAGGAGAGGCAGGAGAGGAGGAGGAGGAAGAGGAAGGAGGAGAATAGAGGAGGAGGAGGAAGGAGAAGAGGTGCAGAGAAAGAGTGTTCCTCCTCCTCCACGTATCCCTCCTACACAGCCAGCACACACAACGACGCTACCCCTCCTCCACCCACGACACTACCTTCCTCCAGACCAGCTCCTGCCTCGCTGCACTACCGACATCAAACATACACACACACACACTACACACACACACGACAATACACACACACACACAGCCAAGATCACACACACAACACACACGACAAGGTCCACACACACAAACAAAGCCACAGAGCGCACATCACACATTCTATAGCCCATAATTTGTCATTATACGCTCCTGATATATATATATATAGTAGGAGAGAGAGGTTTTATTTATTTATTTATTTATTTATTTATTTAAGGTCGGTACATTGGTAAAAGATATATCAACATGTGCTTGCAAGCTCCTCGCCGTCAGTGCAATAAAAAAACATATTAAAAAATATTAAAAATGCAATCTTTACCTGTTTATTCAGATGGTCTAACTCTTGTTGTTTCATGTCGCATTCTCGGTTAATCGCACTGCGATCTGACGCAGTACAATGTGTCTCTACCACCTCAGATAGCTGTAATAGATGAAATAACGATAATATGTTGAGCCTGAAGAGACTGCGCTACAGTCTACGCCTTGCTAACGCATTGGTGCCGTATGCTACATTATAGGGACATAGAGACTTACACTTATTCAATTATAAAGCAATGTATATTCAAATATATTAGGCAATGTTGAACGAAATTCTCTATGGACAATCGCGCATGTACTCCTGCATGTCTTTATTGCTTGCCAAACATGTAATTTTTTCGTTACGCGTGTATTTTGTCGTTTTCGAGTTAACGTGCACTCAAACATGTCTAGCGTACACTATAGAAGCTGTTGCCCTAATATTAGGAAGCTCTGATATCAGCCTTGATATTAGGCAGGTATAGCGTGGTGAGGCTGGTCGGTGATGACGTCATACTCACGATGGTGTCAAGCTGTGGAAGCCGCGCCTGTCGCATGATAGACAGGATCTCCTCTCTCGTCAGATGTGTCGCTGCAGCCGCCCTCCTCTTAGCGATCTTCTCTCTGATGTTTTCTTTGTCCTGCGCACGAAATTCGCAAAGTTTCTCCGATAACTTTTGTTTCGATTTTGATTTTATGTTATTTGTTCAATTAGGTAATTATCAATGCATGCACTGCGAACGATATGTGTAATTATTATAGCATAGTTCTATTGTAATTCAGTGCACACACACGCGCGCGCTTACGCACGCACGCACACACACGCGCGCGGCCACGTACGCACGCCCATTCACACACACACACACGCACGCACGCATGCGCGCACGCCAACACACACACCACACACACACATAAACACACACGCACACACGCACTACACACGCACTCACACACACACACCGCGCGCGCGCACCACACACACACACACAGCCCCACACACACACACACACACACACACACACACACCCACACACACACACCACACACACACACAGCACTGCACGCACGCCCGCAGCGGCATGCACGCACGCACACACAGCACACACACCACACACACAACACACACATACACGACACAACACACACACGAACACACACAGCACAACGCGGCGCGCACAACACACAACCCACACACAGCACACCACACACACACCCGCCACACACACACACACGACACACCACACAACACCACACACACCACCAGCACAAACATAATTAACATCTTAATTTATTCCATCTGCTAACACTCGATGATATTTAATGGCAATGATGATACACGACGATGCGATGATGATGATGAGATGATGATGATGATGACGACGACGAACGTTGTGATAGCCTGACACCCTCACCTGCCGTTTTGTTGTCTGACATCTGGTCGTCCGCAACGTCTGCAGTCTGCTGATCTGATCCGGGGGGGCGGGGCGATGCAGTGGCTCGCATGCGCTCTTTGCTTCGTCACATGCCGGGCAATCTGTCAGGACGCGTAACGCAGTTGAAGCAAAGCAAAGAAGCCAACAACTAGTTGTGCGACATGCGACTGTCGCATAGATAAGTAGCAGGATGCTACATTTAGCTTAGCGTGTTAAAAGGTCTCAACGCCTCAGACAATATTTATCCGAAAATCATTGACATCGTGTCGAATCGTTTGATAAATGCTTCCTTTCGCTACTTCGACATTTTGTATATTCGACATTTCTTAGTACTTGAAGCAATCAAAATTTTCTTAATAATGAATCATATTGATCCAAGCATTAGCCTATGCTGTAATTTGGTGCTTGTCAATTTAGTGACCTTGTATCATTCGTTTCTTGTGTTTAATGATGTCCTGCTCTTTCGCCGTCCTGGCTACGCACTCAGCCTAAATTTTGGTAATTAGCTTACCAATTTAATTAATCTTTGATGATACCTTCCTCTTCCCATCACCTGACGCTCGTCCTGCGTCAACGACATCGGGCTGCTCGTCGTACGCCCCTCTATGTGATTGAGCGAATCTTTTGTTTACATGTCGCGACGCTGCCGCCGACAGCGCTGTTTCAGGAGTGACTTCCAGCCTGCGTCCGCTCCACCCCTCCATCATGGCCGCCCACGCTCACTAAGCGTGCTTATACTGCGGGAAGAATTGCGTGAATAAAATACCGCTCCATCCGCGCGCGGGAGTCCAACATAGGCGCATGGAAGCCGGCGGAGATAAAGAAAGCGATGTGATATATATCTTCTCTCCCTCTCTCTCTGCTCTCTCTCTCCTCTCCGTCTCTCTCTCTCATCTCTCTTTCTGTCTCTCTCTCTCTCTCTCTCTTCCTTTTTTCTCTCTCGTCTCTCTCTCTCTCTCTCTCGTCTCTCTCTCTCTTTCTCTGTGTGTGTGTGTGGTGTGTGCGGTGCGTGCCGTGGCGTGCCGTGCGTGCGTGCGGTACTGCGCGTGATCTAATGCTTTTCAGGCCGGTGCTTATCATGCCTTGCGTGTATTTTCTCATAGATATAGCAAAAATCTTTTGTATCTCTATTCCTGCCCTCTATATTCTATGGTATTCCGATCACGCGTACAGGCCAGTGATCTAGGCCGTCTCTCAACTACGAGAGTGCTTCTGGTAACGAGAGCGCAGATTCCACGAATTCCAGGCACGCGACAGGCAAATTGCTTTACCCACAAAGCTGGCTGCTTCTGCTTCTGCTCACTGCTGCTGCTGCTCGTGTTGCTTTGCTACTGCACTGACTGCTGGCGGCGCTGATGCTGCTACTGCTAGCTGCTGCTGCTCGCTGCTGCGCTGCGCTGCTACTGCTGCTGCTTCTGCTGGCTGGCTACGCCTTCTGCTACTGCTACTGTGCGAGCTGCTGATGCGCTGCTCGTTACTACGCTGCTCCTAATGCACTGCTGCGCTGCTACTATTACTACTGCTGCTAACTGCTGCTGCTGCTGCTGCTTGATGCTGCTGCTGCTGAATGGCTGCTGGGCTGTTACTGACGCTGCGCTACATGCTAATGCTACTAGTCGCTGGCTGCTGCTGGCTGCCGCTGGCTACTAACTGCTGCTACTGCTGTTGCTATGACGTATAGCTCTATCTGCTATGACCACTACACTATACTACTATGCTGCTACTGTGCTGCTGGCTCTGTTTGGTTTCTGGGACTGCTTACTACTACTTACTACTACTCGATAGTTGCTGCTGAAGCTAAGGTTAGGCACGGCAAGCGATAATGAGACAGGCTGTCATCATACGTCATCATCATGCGTCATCGTCCATTTTGTCGTCAGTCATCATCCGTCGTCACCGTCGAGACCGATCGGCGCATTCCAGCACGCAGGAATAAATGCGAAACGACAACATGGCTGCGCGTGTGAGTGGAAGGAACCCGCACACCCACGCCGACTGATCTACATCAATGCGTTTCTCACACGCGTGACCCTGACGAGAGGAAAGTTTGACCTTGAAAAGATGGGAATAGAGAAGGGAAGCGTTCACGGATCCTCATTGTCATCGTCGCAGTCGTCGTCGTCGTCGTTATTGTCCCCCGCATTACTTCGCTGCTATCTTCATGCGCGTCATTGTCGCTTAACGTCATCGTCATCGTCGCTAACGTGCCATCGTCGATTAGGTCGACTACGTCATCGTCATACGTCGTGTAAGTCATCGCATAGTGCTTACGTCATCGTGCTAAAAAAATCCCGTCTGTAAGTCATGTCTCATTCCGTCGCTAATAGCATCTAGTGCACGCGCGTACCACGTATGGGAATATAAGAGGCGTAATGCTTCTCTCTATAACTTATAGCGGAGCGACTCAAATATATACTCTATTTCTTTATTCTTTATTAATTTTATCTTATTTAATTTATTAATATATTAATCTATTAATTTATTAATTTCTTTTTTCTTTATTAATCTTTTAAAATTCTTTATTAATGGGATTAAAGGCGTATGCTTCTCTATACCTATAGCGAGCGACTCAATATACTCTATTTCGTCTGTCATTTCAATTTCTCATTTTATCTTTCTCCGTCTCAGTAGCTCTTGATGTGACTTTACGAACTTTGACATTCGAGGCCAATGATATATAACCATCTACAAACATCTACCTGTGTGTCTATAGAACACCGCTGCACGCGCGTGGGCTCGCATGTTGCACTCGCATAATTAATGTACATGATCGATGTGTGAAATCAACTCCTAAGAATAGAATGCGTGGCGATAGCATCAATATTATCCAATCAGCGCCCGTCTCCGTCGATCTCCTCTGACATCCTTACTCCGATACGTCTCTACGAGTCAACGTGCCATCATCATCATCATCATCATCATCATCATCATCATCAACATCATCAACGTTCATCATCGTCGCCTACGTTTGCTGTATTACATATAGCAAGTTCGCCGCGCATAACCTTACATTACTACTTTCCTTCCAACGCCCCGAATTACGGCATAAGAGATATCACGCGCGGTGCAGCCCCCGCGGAGGGAGCGGCGGCAGCGGTAGCCACAGGCACTTGGGACAAAGTCAGTAAAAACTGAAAATAATATGAACGCACATTCACAAATACTTTCGTACCTCTCAATTACAGTTCCACTGTTGTTTCACTGTATATCAACTTTCCTTCATAAAAACTAACGCTGAACGCTCCCGCACTCGCCGGTGC